CAGCACAAGGGCAGCGGGGACAGAGGCTGGTATATTGGCATGGGGAATGTGGAGGGCAGCTTGGCCGTGGCATGGCCCGTCTCCCCTTGCGACCCCAGCAACCGCGTTTTCACTTTCGATGCGAAGATGAGCTTCAAGTTCTTCGTGGTCTTGGACCCCTCCGAGTGGATCGCCGCGCCGATTCGCATCGACTCGCCGCTCCGCCAGGCCGTGCAGTGCGAGCTCGCCAAGGTCACTGGCAACGCGACGAGTGCTACCGAGATCAGCTTGAAGGCGGGTCGGGCATCCTGGAATGCGTGGTGCAACGAGGGCGGAGGATGATGATATGACGGATGCGGTACGTGTGGGTGGATATGGGGATGTCGGAGGAGGACGCGGGCGGATGGGAGGTGGGGAGATGCCCTAACAGATGAGGGGGGCGAGAGGGGGGTGGGGTGCGGGGTGGGAGGGGATAGGGGGAGAGGGCATGGGGGGGATGTGGGTGCATAGGAGGACGATGGAAGTGATGTGGAGGCAGGATGCGGACGGATGAGGGGGAGGAGAGACGGGGAGAAGGAGGGCCAGTAGCCGCCCGAGGCTAGCCACGAGTGCGGGAACTTGCTCGTGAAGGTGTCCATGGTCGGCCAACCCCAGCCGCTGATGGAGTGCGTGGCCGAGCAGGGTTTCTTCTCTTTGAGCGCCAGCTACCTGAAGGACGTGTGCGACGCCATGGAGTGGCCGTACACGTCCACGACGTTGGCGGGCTTGCTCAAGTCAATGGCCGAGAGCATATTGCCTGGGTGCGGCCCCGATCAGGTCAACAAGGTCCTGGAGGCCCGCATGGCGCACATGGATGGCGTCGACGGGCTTGAGGACTTGTTGGGGGTCGAATGGGTTACCGACATGCTCGACAAGTCAACGACAGAGGAGGTTCTCGAGGAGATCAAGAGCGCCAAGTCGTTCAAGGTCAGGCGGTCTGAGTTTTTGGACGAGTACGACCGCTTCAAGGATAGCGCGCTTTCGCCCCTTCTCCCTGCCTCCCTGCCTCCCTGCCTCCCGCCCACCACCCTCCGCCATGACTCGCAGCCCTCTGCAACAACTGCCCCCCTTCCCCCGCGGTACTTCGGGTAGCTCACGCGCCAAACTAAACGTTACATCACGTAAACGCCGTCAACAGCAGCGCAGCGCCAACCACATAGCAAACGCACGAAACACCGCCATCACCGTCACCAGCAATCATTGAAGCAATCATTCAAGGCCCCCAGCCACGAATTTCCTCTCCGCGACGATGCGGGAGCAGGCGGATGTTGGATGTATCCCGCAGCCGTTTTGGGCCACAACTTCACACGATTTCCATATCACATTTGTCAGTTCCGTTCATTAGATTTCGAGCGATGGCTCCGAAACGCATGGCTGCCCCAAGAGCGAGCGATCCCGACGAGTGGACCTACGCGAAGGCAAGTCGGTGGTACTACGATATGTCTTCAAGGAAGTTTTACAAAGAATGGGCCACAACCTACTATGATTTGCGGTGGGATCCGATTAACTACGTTCATGTGCCTGTGGCGTGGTACCTTGAGGACATCATCTGGCGCAAGGGTACCGTGCAGGAGAAGTGGAGCTGGGATTATGTTCATCAAGACTCGAACAAAAGGCGGAGGCGTCGTGCTTCTGATTGATGTATTCGGGCAGATACATAGTTGGACGTTTTGGGCATGCCTAGGCAGCGTCGCATCGGCCTACTCATTCTTCATATGCATAGGCAGCGTCGCATCGGCCTCTGGTAGCGTGCATCGGCAGCGTCGCATCGCCTCGGTCATTCTTCATATGCATAGGCAGCGTCGCATCGGCATCTACGCATGCCTAGGCAGCGTCGCATCGGCCTCTGGTAGCAACGCTACATGTATAGTCTGTGCCCAGCCTGTGGCAGCGTGCTGCGCACTGCGCGTGAACACTCCATCATCATCATCATTACCATCATCACCACCATCACCACATCAACATCACCATGCAGAAGAGGGGGTGATATCAGCTCGTGTAATCACGAACTGTGGTGCTCGTGGTTGCCCTCTCCGCGTCCGTGCGGCACGCTTTATTCTTCGCCCTCGGGGCGCGCCCTCCTGGAGCGGTCCCGCACGCCATTTGCCCCCGGGGGGCTGGTGGATTTCCCAGCGGGCGCTCGTGGGACGATTCCTCGCACATCAGCGTGCCACTTGGCGCGGTGCTCTCGGCGGGGCGTTGTTGCGGCCACGCGCGGCGGGCGGCTCCCATAGCCACCCTCCGCCACAACACAACATAACAAGAGGCACCCCATATAGGCCCGAGCTGCCCACCTCATTCGGCTCCAGTGATGCCCCAATCGTTGGTGCCCCCGAACGGCCCACATGGCCACCCCCAGGGCTGCGGCTCCGTATCGCCAAAACATTGCCACCCCAAACGTCCCGCATGGCCACCCCAAACGGCTCACATGGCCACCCCCGAGCGGCCTCCAAGTGCCCGCATGGCCACCCCAAGCTCCGCCGTTCCAGGGTGCCCCCCACTCGGCTCCCATGAAGGCCCCGAGAGGCGCCAAACCTGCCCACCCCAAATGCTGCTGCTCCGTAGCCATCTCGGCTCGAGTCTCGGCGTGATCTGCGAGGGCGGCCCACATGGCCACTCCTCGGTACAATGAATACCATCGCTCGAGGTGGCTAACGTACGCCGCGGCGCTGTTGCGCGACCGCTCGAGGACGCCGCGGGATTCGGCGCCCGTGGCGTCGGCCACGACCCCTAGCGTCGGCGTCGCGTACCAGGAGCGCCTTCGGCACGTCGCCGCGACTGGGCCGACTGGGCAGCAATGGAAGGATCCAGGGAGGGTAGAGGAGGTCGGTGAATTTGGAGTGGAGGGCTGGGCGGGCGGTTGCGATTGCACGCCCATCCCTCCGCTTCGAATTCACCGTCTTTGGAGAGTAGCGGTCGCCACCGTCGTCGCCGTCGGCCCTCCCCCCCCCCCCCCAGTCCCCGACCGAGCCCACCCCCCGACGCCGCCCCGTGGAGACTGCTTCGGGTCGGGGGGTGAGCTCGCCCATCTGGACTCGGGGAGGTAGTGGCTGGAGGGGGGTGTTCGTGGGGTGGAGGGGCGGCGACGACGCGGGCGCCCGTTCCTCTGTCCAGGAGCGCGCTCTCAGGGCGGAGTGGGAGAACAGGAGGCTCAGGCAGGCCGAGCAGGAGCTCTTCCGCGTCCGCCAGCGCTACGCTGACCTCGTCTTGCAACGCAGCCGCATGGCGCAGATGGATGCCGTCATCTTGCCCATTGCGGGAGGGCACGCCGTGGCGGACGACGCGGGCGATGTCTCGTCGACGTCGTCGTCGGAGGAGGAGGAGCTCCAGGATACCTTGGCGCGGGATTCGGAAGTGACGGGCATTCCAGCTGAGAGGCGTGTATACCGTGGCATACCGAAGAACGATGATGAGGGGCCGAGGATGACTCCTGCCTTTGCTCCTCCAGCTCGCCAGGCTCGGCGGGCCATTCCGCTGCCCATGAGCGACGCCGCCCAGATTACCATCGGGGCGCCGAGTGAGATGAGCATGGCGTTGGTTGTTGCTCCGCGCCAATAGAGCGAGTGGGGCGTTGGTTGTTGCTCATCCGCGCGCCAACAGAGCGCCCGATGACATCCTGCCCCTCGTGATGGCGGGCAGACTTGCGCTACCCCCTCTCATATTCATGCTTCCCGATCAGGTCCCGCCCCACCCCCCTCGCTTGCTTGCCCCAGCATTGGCATTTGCCCCTCTCGCGCCGAGGTGCGTTCCACCTTTCGCCCGTCTCAGTCGCACCGATGCTGATATGCGCCCTCTCCCTCGCGCAGATTGGGCGGCTAGGCGCCGCGGCTGTCGGTGCTATCACGGCTACGGCCGACATGTTCAGCGATGGTGGCACGACGCTCATTTTCACTTTGGCCATGCCCCTCGCTTTTGGCATTCCGCAACCATGCTCGCCGAGGGTAGCGCGCCGCTTAGTGCATATATGTTCCTACTAGGGCCGAGGCGCACCCACGGCACGTGTCCTTTGCGTTTTACTTGCAATATCTGAAAACATGCATGCGTACGAATGGCATGCCTTCTCATGTAGCGCAGTTGGCCATCCTCGGCCGCTCAACGGCACACGTTTGCGCTTCGTGTCGGCAGGTGCTCGGCCTACCAAGCCGCGCGCCTGAGTAATTCTGGCACGGTAGTTGCACACGCGGATTGGGGGTCTCAGTATGTGTGGTCAGTGTCGCGAGGGCACATCGGGAAGATTCGTTGTTCGCCGATGTGATTCTGCTCCCATGTAGACCATGGTCCTACACTTCCGCCCCGCCCCAGTTTCCCATGTCTCCTTCGATGCCACTGCGACCATAAACTCATATCCCTTTACTGCCCTCCTCCTCCTCCTCCTCGATTGCGCTGCCGCCGCAGTCGCCGTCGCGGCCGTCGTCGTGCTTCAGCTGCCGCCGTCGCCGTCGCCCTGCCAGCTGCTGCAGGGGAGGGGTGGGTGGGCCGTCGCCGTCGATGCGGTTGTCGCCGTCGTCGCCCGTCGGTCGGTCGTCGTCGTTGCGTTGCCGCCGCGTTGTCTGCCGCAGCCGCCGCCCTCGATGTCATCGTCGTCTGTCGTACGACGTCGTCTCTGCATCGGCGCATGCCGATGTCGTGCGGTTGCCGTGCCGATGCCGTGCGGTTGCCCATCCTCGTGCGATGCCGGTGCCGTGCCGAGGCCGTGCCGATGCCATGCCGATACCGTGCCGACGCCGTACCGATGCCGTGCCGATGTCGTGTGGTTGCCGTGCCGATGCCGATGTCGTACGGGTGCCATGCCGACGTCGTGCGGTTGCCCGCACTCTGGTGGTTGTCGCTTTGGGGTCGATGAGGTGGCGGTCGGGGTCGGCCGCAGGTCGTAACGTCGCCGATCTCGGGGCAGGGATTTGAGTCGCTCGTCTTGCCCTCACGCTGCCGCCGCTGCCCACCCGCCCACCCACCCTCCGTCGCCGCAAAATTGCGGCTCGCAGGGCAAGGTGTACGGCAAGCCCGCGGCGAGCAGCAGGACCAACAAGCACCCGTTGCACGGCTTGCGCTTCCCGAAGGACCCGCCGTCCGCCGCGGACGACGTGACCCAAGTGATGGTCAAGCCCTTCTTCCCGCCAGATACGTGCGTCTGGCGCTCCAACGGCGAGGGCGCCTGGTTGTTCAACCAGCCGTCCATTAAGAAACGGGGCAGGCGCACGCGGGCGCAGCACGGGGGGTCGTCTCAGAAGGCCGTCCGCGCGTGCATGGTTGAGGCATGGGCAAATTTTCTCGAGGTCCACCGCCTCCCCCACTCGCATTGCCCCATCAGCGGGCTATTGTGAGGCACAGTGCGGTCGAACTAGATTCCTCGGGTCAGTCGAAAGCAGGGCAGCGATGCCATGATATCATGACAGCACTGGTTTCCATATTCGGACCGTTCGACTGCACCTGGGCGGTGGCCTTGCATCGATGCGATGCCAGGGTAATTTACGTACCACTTGCAAGCTTGCAAGTGCTCCCCTGGCCGAGGGCATGGCTGGGGCATGATCTGTTGGCAGGCCGTAACCTGCCCGACGTTGCGCATCGTTCTCGGATGAAAATCAAGGTCGTTTCATCGTGGTCAGGTGGGGGTTGGGCCAGCGCCGACGTGGGCCTTTGATGGGCCTTCCCCGATGGGTCGGCGGTGTGACGGACGGGGGGAGGGCGAGTACACGTGGGGCAGGGGAAGATTGGGGGCCCCGTGCAATCACGTAGCGGACGCCTCGCCCGATAGCCTCGATCGCCCAAGGGGTTCGGGCGTTGGGGCACCACCGTCGGGCGGCCAGCCAGCAGGGGCGCGTTCGGCCAGGAGCAATGTGCCTTCGGTCAGGGGCGGTGGTCTTCCACATTGAGGATTTCCCTGGGTCGTCGTCGCCGCCGTCGCCGTCGTCGGCCGCGTCGCCGTCGCCGTCGCCGTCGCGCCGTCGCCGACTGACGCCGTCGCCGTCGTCTTCGGAGTCGTCGGAGTCGCCGTCGCCGTCGCCGTCGTCGGGCCCGCTTCGCTGATGAGGGGTCGCGGAGATGTCGCGTCAGTTGCTGAGGGGGCTCCGTGCCGCGCCCTGCGCAGGGTACGGCCTGCGCCGTGCCGTGCCCGTGCCGTGCTGAGGGGGCTCTGCCCTGCTGAAGGGGGCTCCGTGCCGTGCCGTGCCGTGCCCCGCTGAGGGGGCTCCGTGCCGTGCGCCTGCGCCGTGCCGTGCCGTGCCCTGCTGAGGGGGCTCCATGCCGTGCCCGCGCCGCGTTGCCAGCTTGCCGTTGCGTCGCGTGCCTGGGTGGCCGCGCGACGCGCGATTAGTTAACTCTTCGTTGCACCGCCCGCCCTTCGCCACAGCGAGCCCCCACAGGATAATGCATCTGGGGGGCGCGAGGGCGGGCGCCGCCCCTGGCCCCTCCCGCCCCGCCATCCTGTTCGTGAGCCCCCTCCCCCCAGAGGAGCTCCAGAAGGAGAACCGCCTGCGCGTGGCCGACGCGTGGGACTACGGCCAGGTCGTCGTGCGCGGCCCGTCGTGGGACAGCGGCGGCCACGACTCGTTCGACGGCGGCAGTGGCGCCTCGGGCTACACCATCCCACCGTCGGAGGAGCAGATTCAGGAGTGGCTCAAGGTCATGCTGTTCGGACATGCTGAGGGGATCAGCGAGAAGTGCAACATGACTGGTTGGCACATGCAGCACCATTGGATCAACCGCAGCATCGTGGCGGAGTTCCCCGCAGGGTGCGGCCAGAAGGTCTTCAAGGCTGGTGATGGCCACCGCTTCGAGCTGAGCGTCGTCGATGGCTTCTCGTTGCAGTCGGACGTCGATCGGTTCTGTTCGCTGCACACTACCATGATGCATGTGCGCAAGTCCTTCACCGATTGGCTGCCGACGTACGTGATCGCCCACAACATTCAGCATGAGAACTACAACCGCATCCGCGAGCTCGAGGAGGCGAGCATCCAGTGGATCAAGGATGGCATGCAGCAGAAGCTGAACGAGCGGATCCAGTACGCGCTCAACGACGAGCAGGAGAGGATCAATGCACCCAGGCAGCTGAAGGCGACGACCTCGGCCCCGAAGGACCGCGAGGCCATGAGGAGGAGGAGGAGGATGGGAGCTGATGTGGAGTAGGACGAGGGCGAGGTAGGAGGTCTGAGGATGAGGAGGGGCCAGAATAGGCAGGACGATGTAGGAGGTAGGAGGATGATGATTAGGTAGATGAGGATATCGAGCAGGGAGGCGATATAGGAGATAAGAGGATGAGGAGGAGGTAGAGTGGGGAGGACGAGGTGGGCGAGGAGGTAGAGCAAGGAGGACGAGGTAGGAGGTATGCGGATGAGGAGGGAGGTCGGATTGGGGGCCTCCTCATCATACCTCAACCTACCTCCTCCTCCTCATCATCATCCTCCCTACTCTACCTCATCCTCCGTACTCTTACCTCCTCCCTACTCTACCTCCTCCGACTCCCTACCTACCTCCTCTTCCTTACCTCACCTCCTCCTTCAACCTCATCCCCGCCCTTCCCCAGGAGCCCCCCAAGAAGAAGGAGGAGCCCCCGTCGGGCAAGCGCAAGCGGTAGGCCGATCGCGGCCCTATAGGGTCGCGATCGGGATGGGCCTCCCCTCCCCTTCATCCCTCCTGCCTCGTCCCTCCCCTTCCTTCCCTCCTCGTCCCTCCCCAATCCCTCGTCCCTCCCCCACCCTCCTCCTCTTCCCTCCTCCCCTCCTCCTCCCCCCTCCTCGATCCGATCCTCCTCCTCTTCCCTCCTCCTCCCCTCCTCCTCCTCCCTCCTCGGTCCGATCTCCCTCCTCCTCTTCCCTCCTCCCCTCCTCCTCCTCCTCCCTCGATCCTTGCTCCCTCCTCTTCCCTCCTCCTCCTCCCCCGTCCCATCCCGATCGCGACCCTCGCGACGAGCTTCGCCGTGCGCGGAGCGAGCCAGTGTTCTCTGGAGAAGGAAGTGCGCTGCGAGCGCTGCGGGGGGGCGAGAACAGCGCTGCGAGCGCTGCGGAGGATGAAGTAGAACAGAGGAGGAGGAGGTAGAAGGAGGAGGAGGAGGAAGAAGGAGGAGGAGGAGGAGGTAGAAGGAGGAGGAGGTAGAAGGAGGAGGAGGTAGAAGGAGGTAGAAGGAGGAGGAGGTAGAAGGAGGAGGAGGAGGTAGAAGGAGGAGGAGGTAGGAGGAGGAGGAGGAGGTAGTACATAATCCCCTCCTCCTCCTCCTACTTCCCCCTCCCTGGTCTACCTCATCCTCCCTACTTCCCCCTCCTTACTTTACCTCCTCCCTCCTTACTTTACCTCCTTACTTTCCCCTCCATCCCTACTTGCCAAGAATCGAGTCGGGCGGGGTGACGGGACTGGGGTCGGGGGTGTCTTTTATTCTTACCATTTTACAATTTGTGAGTCCTAGTCCTTTCTGCCACGCCGACTGCAGATCATCCAGACTGTGCTTCTATCCAAGGCGAGTGGTGGGTGGAGGCCGATCGGGTTGGTTGTTTCTGTGCATCGGTTGCGGGTACGATGCAGGAGAGACATGGCGGCGGCTTGGGAGGAGAGGAATGTTCGTTGTTCTATCGCCGGCAGTTTTGTTACTTCTGCTGCCGACACCGCGCGGCGGCAATCGGCCAGGGCGGAGAGCAGCAGGAAGCAGGGGGAGGTTTCTGCGTTATGGCTTTGGGGCGCGATGAAGTTCTATGATAAATTCTCCCCATCTGGCTCCGAGGAGGAATGCGGGAAGTACGGCCTGACCACGTACAGGTATGGCCGTTTCATCAGCATGGCCACGGCGGTGGCAGTGCTTTTCTTCGCTTCCAGAGGCGCAGTGGCTGGCTGTTCCATGGCGACGAGTTTCGTTCGGGTCTACCTCCTGGGGCCGCTGAGTGCTACGAAACTTCCGGGGGGCGTTTCCTTTGCTCAGTTCATAGATGATTCTGGTCTGGACTCCACGGGCTCGGCTGAGGAGGTGATCCGGGCGTCGAGGAAGGGGCCGCGCAGCTAGAGCATGCTCTGGGCGAGGAAATTGGCAGTTCGATTTCCTTGACTAAGGCGGGTCAAGGCAACCTGCTACGCTCGGACAGTGCTGTTGCAGGAGTGCGTCATGCTTTCCTAGGCGAGCGTGCTGGGCCGCTGCGTGACAGCGCGGTGGACCCTGGGATTGACTTTCCTGTTGGGCGGTTTCGGAGGCAGGTGCATGTCAAGAAAGCACTGCGCGCGTCCAAGTTCAAGGTTCGAATGCAGCACCCAAAGCATAAGTCAAATAATATGCGTGGTCTGAAGAAGCAGCTGTCGGTTCACGCCAAAAAGGTCTGAGTGTCTGGGCCTCTCCCTGGGCCCCTCTATGAGGCCGAAGTTCACGGGGCATCGGACGGTGAACTCCGCATTGCGACAGCAGGCGGGGTCCACCATGGGGCCCAGCTGCATCGGCAGGTCGCTCACGAGCCTCCTCATCAGTGAGAACGAGCCCACGTGGCTGTCAGATGCGCGAGAGATTTATGGTGTGCAAATTCTAGGGCGCACCGCTGGTCATTCATTTTCCGTGAGTTGCGTGAAGCCTGGGGTGTGTTTTTTTAACAGTGGGCCTGCACCGTCGTCTTGGCGCTCCGTTGCGGGCCCTATTTCGGCGATATGGCTCTCTCTGAAAGGTATCAGGTGGAAGCTGGAGGATTCGGTGGCACTTCTCAGCGATTTTGGAGAATATGTGATTCTCACGGAGGTGAGCCCAGCCTTTTTGAAGCGGCTACTCCGTCAGGCGGTGCTGCGAGAGTTAGAGGGTGAGGCAGCTGCAAAATCTAGCAGTGGAGTTCCGGCACTGTGTTATGACGTAGTCAAGTTGATGTTGAGATCCATCCGTTTTTTCTCGTCATGTCGCGCTGCGATTCGCACTGTTGGCTGTGACGCGATTTGGGCGAAGGTAAAAGCACGTAGTCTCGGATATCAGCATGAAGATGTGTCGTGTGCTTTGTGTGGGCAAGGGCCCGATACTGTGCTGCACCTTCTCCCCTGCCATGATGACGGGGAAGGTGGTCTGGCAGTGGGAGGAGGATGAGACGCAGCATGAGGAGGAGCACATGATCATTGAGGAAATGTTCATGGACGGTTGCTGCTTCAAGAATGAGATACCTGAATGTTGTAGGGTTGGCTGGGGGTTTTCAATTTTCAGCATGGACCAAAAACTCCTCGGACGTGTTTTTGGCACTGTCTACGGGGCCCTCAACCAGACGGCCCAAACGGCCGAATTCTCTGCTTATGGGTGTTTTGGGCATGTTTTGCAAGTTGAGGGCACCCTGTACTCTGATTGTCAAAACGTGTGTGTACAGGCTCGAAGACCCGCTGGGTGAGCAGATGTCGTACCAGCGTCCGTACGCTAGTCCAGTTACTTTTGCCTTGCCAGTGCGCCAGTGGATCAAGTCAGTCCAGAGAGTGAAGGCGCACCTCTCTCTCTGGAGGAGGAGGGGGTGTCAGCCGAAGAGATGTTCCTGCGCCGTGGCAATTTCCAGGCTGACCAGGCGGCCAAGGCTGGACCTCTTCTCCACGATTCTGCTGGCCAGAACCTTGTTGAGGCTTTGCATAAGTTGACGTTGATTGCGCGTACCGTGTGCAAGATGGCTGCAGCGTTGCTCTTTGAATGGGCGAAGCTTGATCTCAGTGGAGTAGAGCTGTGCCCCCCAGTCGGATAGAGAACGGGAAAGAGGGCCAGACGCCACCATACATGGAGTTTCACCTGTGGGCGGTGGAGGCGTACGATATGCATGAAGACCTATTGGTCAAATTTCCGTCCCCCTGTCTCGGGCTGTACGGGTAAGGTGAATTTTGATTTTGGTTCGTTGGAGTGTCTTGGCCATTTTGTGGTCGGTTTGCCGTGTTCAGACGGTGGGACGTTTTATGTGTGCACGCACTGTGCTTCACAAGTGGGTTCTGGTTCAATCAAGAAGTCGAACCTCTTGGGCAAATGTTCCCTAAAGATGACCCCACAGAAGAGATCTCTGTGGAACAGACTGCTGCGAGGCCCCTACCCCAAGCACGGGACGTCCATTACAGTGGACGCAGATGGGGTTTGGGATATTCTATGCAGCAGTCACTACCCCCAGTCATGGTTGAGTTGTGGATGTTGGAAAAAATCCTCCTCCTCCAGGCTTGCTCTCATCCTCATCATCCGCTCCTCCTCCTCCTCCTCCTCCTCCTTGTTATCATCCTCTTTCCGCGTTGTCCCCATCGTCCTCGGTGTTGTCCTCCCTGTCGCTATGCTCGCCCCTATCCTCCTCACCCTTACGCAACTCCTCGCCCCCTGCATTCCTCATCGTGTCCAGGTTTTGGCGGTGGTGGCTGGAGTACTTCTCCGTGCGCGTGGTGCACAAGAGCGGCAAGCCGCTGCCGCTGGGGCAGTACTTCTACTGCTTCACGCCGCACGGCCTGTCCTCCCAACTACCTCTGGGCGGGAGGAGGATGGCACAGGGGGATGAGAAGGGTGAGTAGGGTAGGGCAGGAAGGGGATGGTGAGGGGGAGGTCGATGAGGAACGGGGAGAATGATGAGGAGGGAGGATGTGGTGGAAGGATGGGGAAGGAGTGATGAGGAGGAGTGATGAGGACGGATGAGGACGTACTCTGGCAATACCGTCGTTGCCCGGGAAAGTTGTGATTGCGGCCTTGTTATTCCTAGACGTTGGATGCCGGCTGTAAGAGATACTATATTCGGTGGCTTGTAGTGTGGGGCTGTAATGGGTAAGTGCATCTTCTTGTCGGCCCACGCCGTGATGCGTGCGCGGAGATGGGAGCTCCGCTTCTTACGGAAAGGCTTGAAGTTGAAGCGCAGATTTGATGAGAGTCTCATGCTCCATAATGTCAGGACGCCCGTGTTGATAACGCGTTGGTTGGCTGAGCGTTGCCAGCCGCGAATGCACCATGAACTTCTCTTTTCCGTATTCGAGCTTGCCCGGAGGGAGTGGTGTTCCCGGTCTCCCAGCAGCAGTTGCCTCCTCCAAAGTGCACGCAGCGACTGGGATAGAGCCTTATGGAAGACGGTGCATACCTTCAGCGAAAGACGACGCAGAGCTGATAGTTTAGTGCGCGCCGGCATGGGGCACCGATGCGAACGCGAGGGCGTGTTCTGCCTCGTTTTCTGAACAGCTTGGAGGACCGCGCGGGACACGTGCGACGATTTGCCAGGATGGCGGAAATGTTATCCAATGTGTTTTGGTAGCATGTGCACGCGTTGCCAGTTTCCTGCTGCCGCGGCTTTGGACGACGGGCCGAGAGAAGACTATGATGGATGGCGCGCTGGAACATGCATTACTTTGACAACATGTTTACTGCTCACGGGGACGACCCGCCCGCAATGCCATTCCCGAGCCCGCGTGGCTGTTTCGTTTGCGTGGTGGACTGCACGTCTTTGGCAGCAGTGGCTCGCGGACATGCCCATTTCGCCGACGCGTCCTTGCTCCCAGCGTTCGGGCGCATCACGAACAATGTGTTCCACCTGGTAAATTCTGGCTGGCCCCAAGCGGAAGATATCGGCGATCCAGTCTTGGTGCGCCGACGCGACTAAAACAAGATAGTTGAGTTCCTCGTCAATTCTACCACGGGGCATGGTAGGAGTTGGTTCAGAGAAGTGCGGCTCACCTTTTCGCAGTTTTACCTGGACCGCGTAACTTTCATCTACCATTCAGATGGCGGCACACGGCGCGACTCCTGCTCAGCAGCAGCAAGCGTCATCGAAGCGGCCGCCATTTTAGGACGATCGTCGGCATGGTCGCTTTCCGGGTGGGTTTTTTGAGATGCCGGTGTTTTTTTTCATTGTCGAGACCGTCGTTCTAGACGGTTACATTGCGTCCCTTCCCAAATACCTCTATCTGGCCAGCCGTGCCAAACGTGCTCGAGCTGCTTCGTGTACGGTTGAAATTGCGATTGCAAGTTCAACTCCTCCTCATCCTCCTACTCCTTCTTCCTCTGCCTGCTTCCTGCCTTCGTCCCCTACCTCTCTTCCGTCACCCTGTGTTTTTTCTGTTTCACAGTCGTGGGGCATTATGTTTTCCTTACGGTTGTGATGCGTTTTTTATCTTACCCATTTGGAGGTGCAGATGTCCCGCCCACGCGCCAAATTGTGTATGGTTTTCCGACTCGATTGCTGCTTCGATTTGTACATGTAATTTCACATTGTTTTGAAGTTGCAGGCCTGTCGTAGTACGTGGCATGATGCGTCGGAAAGAAAAGGAAGCACGAGGAGGAAGGAGTGATGAGGAGCTATGCAGAGGAGGAGGAGGTGGAGGAGGAGGAGATCGATGAGACAGGGGATAGGAGGAGGAGGAGGAGGAGGAGCAGAGCAGACCCGCCACGGACCAACGATGCTGCAGCGCGCCCTCCCAGCTGAAGTCCCTTTTTTGAAGACCCGCACCCCATGGGCCTGCCGTTTGGGCGAGAGACCCGCACCCGTTGGGACCGTAGGGAAGTACACCCGAGAAAAGTCACAGTCAGTGGATGGCTTGAAATGGGATCGATGAAGAGATCGATACTCCAGATTTCGTAATACAAGGGAGGGGGTCTGGACCCTCCAAGACGAGCCATTTCAGACCTCCCCCGTGGGAGAACCCTCCAAAACATCGTCCCCAGACCCCCCTCCAAGATAGCCTGGAAGAGACACCCCCGAAATGAGACCCCCCTCCCTTTATTACGAAATCTGGAGTAAGGAGATCGACCGGGAACCTGGGAGCCCGGGAACCCGGAACCCACCGAAATCGGCCCGCGAATCGATGGCCAGGAACCCGGGAATCGGGAGCCTGGAACCCGGGAACCCAGCTGGCCACCATCATCGGCGGGAGGATTTCGCCAAATTTTTCAATTTCCGCTAGGACCCCTTCAGTGCAAGCACTGATTGGGGAATGAGAAACGGAACGGTCATGCAGGTCGTCGAGGCGACCAGCTAGGTACCAACTTTGAGCAAGAGCCGTCCTATCTGTATCAAGGTCATCGCGCTACTTGAGAGCGCCACCATTTAACTAGACGTCTGCGATCTCAGTGCTTGTCCCTCTTCTCCTCCCTATCCTCCTTCATTTGCCTTGTGCTCGCGAAGACTTGGTGCGGGTGTCAGCCATCATGGTTGGTCTACGCACGCGCGAGTTGTTTGTTTTCGTAGTATGCCCTATTCACCTCCTGATGGGGAGTTGTCTTTGGCCCTTTGCTGGCATGGTGGAACTGGGAACATCCATCGGTCGTTAGGTCTTTGGCTGCTCAGTCTCATAACTGCCGCATTTTCGCGTTCGGTCTCGCTCCCCTCCCTCACTTCCTCCTCTTTCGCCCCTTCTTCCCCCTGCCCTCCCGATGTGGCGACCCGTGTTCGCTTCGAGCGGGGATCCAAGAGCATTGTTGGATATTGAAGATGCTTCAGCTTTGGCACGGGATGTTTTTGGGGGATGCCTTGATGCCAGTTTTGGCGACAGCACGCGAGGTCATCGGTTCATTCCGTGTCGTCCTCCCTTCTCTTTTCTTGTTTTCCTTGAGGTTGTGTTGAACAGCGGTTGCACTTCGGGGGTGCATATTTTGGATAAGATCCACCATTTATCAGGGCAGTTGCTACATGTGGTGCATTTTCTTGCCTTTACCCGTGTGGACCCCCCCCCCCGACGAGAGCCCTGAGCTTTTCTCTTTCCCTGTAACTGCTGCGAGCTGTTCGGATAATTTTGTGCGCGCTAAATCGAGAGCTCCATTCAGAGAACGACCCCCCCATCCTCGTGAGCGCTGCAAGCTTTTGAGACGAATGTGATGTGTGGGCCCCAAGGCGAGAGCTTCATTTTTTCAGTGCCCCCCCTCCATTCGTGTTGCCTACTGTTGCACTGTGCGAAGGAGAGACAGAGGAGGGTAGAGGGGACTGTTGCCGCGTGGATCCCGAATTCCTTTTGGGGCTTCCAGTTGCCCAGAATAACAACCAACGCACTTGCATTCCCGAACTAGGCGCCGTGGGCGAATCATAGCACAGGGGGGGGGGCGAGAAGGATGAATGATCCGGAAGGGATGAGAGGGGTGAGGAGTAGGGAGGCTGTGGCGGATGATGAGGATGATGATGGAGGAGGAGGAGGAGGAGGAGGGCGAGGATGAGAGAGGAGGGAGAAGGGAGGAGGGTGGAGGGAGGAGGGAGAATTGAGGAGTGAGGAGTGAGGAGTGAGGAGGGATGAGGAGGAGGAGGAAATGGAGGAACAGGAGGACAACAAGAAGACGGTTACGACGGACGATGGCGCTATCGACGACGGCGACGACGATCACGTCCACGACGATGACTGTGGCGACGGCGACGACGACGACGAGGGAGGCCTGTACCCCTTCAGCGGGGCAATGGCGTGCGTGTCCAAGATGGTCGACGTCTTCCCCAGGATGCGCATCATCAGTGCCGCGGTCGGCACGCGGGTACCGATGGTGCGGTGGCCGATGGGCTGTTCCGAGGAAGAGGGGGAGGGTAAGAGGGGAGGAGGATAAAAGAGAAGCAGGATGAGGGGGAGGATCGGGACGAGGAGCAGGATGAGGAGGGGAAGGAGGAGGAGGAGAGGGAGGGGATGAATTTTCTCCCTCCTCCCCCCTCCGAGGGGTGCGACGGTCGACTGGAGGCCTGAGACCCCGCCAGATATTACCCAAACCTTTGTTTATTCAAGACGCTTCGCGTAGCCCCACCAGCTTGTTGTTCCTTGGACGGCGCGCGGCCCTTCCATTTTCGCTCGCGAACAAAAATAGCCCCACCAGCCCATCCAGAAACGATGCCCAGAGGAATTGCCTCGATCGGGGAAGTGGGCAGCACACAGAGGAAGGGTCCACTAGTGGAGACCTCGTGGAGCGTCTTGAGGGCCTCTTGGCGGTCCTGGACGCCTCTTAGAGCGTCTCGGGTGCCTCGGAGAGATTCTTGGGGCCTCTTGGGGGTCTCTTGGGCGCCTCTTGGGGCCTCCTGGGGCCTCTTGGGTGCTTCTTGGGGCCCTCTTGGGACGCTCTTGGGCGCCTTGGAACCATCTTGAAGCTTCGGATGGCCATCGGAATCGAAAAGGCGAGAGAGCCAACAGCTTTGATGTTCCTAAGGTTTTGGAAGGATTTTGACCTCTTCGGGGCCTCCTGGGGGAGCTCTTTGGCCACCTGGAGCCGTCTTGGGGCCTCTTGGAACATCGTGGGAGCCATCTTGCGGCATCTTGGCATATCTTGAGCCATCTTGGAGGTCATCTTGGGCTCTCCCAGGCGCTCTTGGAGTCATCTTCAGCAGTGCCCCCCCCCCCCCCCCCCCCAGGAGGCCCAAATGTGGCCAAAACCTTGGTAAACTGAATGATTTTGGCATTGTCGCCGAGGCCTCTTGGGGCGTCTTGGGTGCCTCTGGGGGGCCTCTTGGGGCCTCTTGGGGGTCTCTAGGGAGCCTCTTGGGGGCATCCTGGGGGGCCTCTTGGGGCCTCCTGGCCACCTCTTGGGGCCCTCGTGGGGCACCCTTGGGAGCTTTGGGAGCACTCGTAGGGGCCATCTCGGAGGAGATCGATCACAGAAGAGGGGAGGCTCGCCCCCACAAGAGGCCACAATGGGGCCACAACCCTAGTAAAACCAATGAGTATGGCTTCCTCGCCGAGGCCGTTTTGGACGCTCGGACCGCTCGCGAAACTCCCCGTCCAGGTCCAGGGGAGGGGGTCGGGGGAGGGGCAAACCCCTCCCCGAAGGGGGAGAAGGGGGTGGAAGAGGAAACACCTTAAACCACCTACGCCCTAAAGGGCTGGTGGGATTACCTTGGCATTCCCTTCTTTTGTCCTCCTCCTTCTCCTCCGCCTCCTCACCATCCTCTCTCTCCGGCTCCCTCTCATTATCCCGCCTCCTCCTCGCAGTCAGAGGGGCGCGGCAGCCAACAGGGCGGACTCCCCAAGAGCACCCCAGGGCCTCCACGATCACACAAAGACCTTCGACATCTTTCCGGTTGCCCCCCCCTTTCTCCTTGTCCTCCCCCCCTCCTCCTCATCACTCCTCCTCATCACTCCTCCTCATCACTCTTTATCCTCCCCCCCTTCCTCCTTGTCCTCCCAGCAAAGCAGTACAGGGGAACGGGGCAGCCCCCCCTGTTGCTGGCCGAGTTGCCGTCGTTTCTCGGATCCCCTTTCGCCTTCCCCTCCTCTTTCGCCTCGTCTTCCTCCGACATCTGCCCCTCCCCCTTCATTCCCTCTTCTCCCGTCTTGCCTTCCCCCTCCTTAACTTCCTTCCCCCTTCCTTTCCTCTCCCTTTCCACTCCCTCTCCTCCCCTTCATTCACCTCCTCCCCCCCGCCTCGTCTTCCTTCACCATCAGCTCCTCCCCCACTCCCTCCCCCCTTCCCCCTACTTGCCTGCCCCTCCTCAACTTCCTCCCCCTCGTCCCCCGCCTTCACTCCGTTCCCTCCTCTTTCTGTCCATCCTTCCCTCTCGTCCCCATTCCCCATTCATTTCCTCCTCCCCCTCCTCCCTCCTCCTCTCCTCCTCCTCCTCCTTTCTCCTCCTCCTCCCCCTCCTCCCTCCCCTCCTCCTGCTCCTCCGTTTCCTCCTCCTCCTCCTCCTCTTCCATTCTTTCCCTTCGTCCCCATCCCCATTTCATCACCCCTCCTCCTTCTCCTCTTCCTCCTCCTCCTCCCCCTCCTCCTCCTCCTCCTCCTTCTCCTCCTCCTCCTCCTCCTCCTCCTCCTCCTCCTCCTCCTCCCCTTCCTCAGCTGCACAATATGAACACGACCCTCCTCGCTCCCCTGACTTCATTCTGGGGAGTGCCCCACCTTCTCTCCGTGTTTGTGTTTTCTTTTTTGGCAGTTCAACAGGTGGTCGTAACACACGCTGTGTTCTGGGTCACACGTCGTCGGCGTCTCAAGACGGTGTTCCCTCTGCAGCGTTGGCATCATTTCGGGATCGGAACGTTGCTCCTATCGATGAGACTGGCGCTCTCGCTCCAGCGCCAGCCACATTTGTGGATCTGGGTTATTTCCGTGCTCCTTTCCCCTCCTTCGTCTTTCCCTGGTCCTCCTGCTCCTCCCGCTCCCCCTACTGTTGCTGCGGCTCAACTTCCTCCTCTTCCTCAACCTTCCTCCTCCTCCTTCTTCTCTTTCTTTTGCTGATCCTTCTGCTCACCCGCAACTTTTTCGTCCTCCAATGTCCACGCCTCCCCTTTTCGGATTGCACATACACCGGTGGGGTCCTTTTGGGAGTGCTGAGTCTGTTTTGACACCTGTCGGCAGACAGAAACCCATTCAACGAAACGGGAAGAGATTAGCGGGAGGGGTAGGATGTCAAGTATAGTACAAGCGCACCTACCATGTCCTTGTCCCTCCCCTCTTCTCGTCCACCCTCTCTTCCCTTTGCATCGATCCTTCCTTCCCTCTTCTTTCTTCTGCTCGTCCTCTGTCATCCTTCCTCCCTCTCCTCCTCCTCCTCCTTCTCCTCCTCCTCCTCGTGTTACGCTTTTTCTGCCTTCTCCGCATCCTCATCCTCATCCCCCTCCGTGGAGGGGAAGATGGTTGAGGAGGAAGGCGGAAGTGAGGGGGGAGAGCACGAGGAAGGGAGGGAGGCATCAAAGATGATGGTGATCATGGTTATGCTTCTGCTGATGATGATGCTGATGGTGATGACGATGAAGATGGTGATCATGATGATGATGATGATGATGATGATGATGATGATGACGATGATGATGCTGATGCTGATGCTGAGGCTGATGCTGATGATGTTGGTGGTGATGCTGGTATTGGTGATGCTGACACTAGCGATGATGATGATGATGATGATGATGATGATGATGATGATGATGATGATGATGATGATGATGCTAATGATGGAGCCTATAAGGATACTGCTGTTGATAATGCTGCGGGTGATGAGTATGAGGATGGTCTTGATGCTGCTGATGACGACGATGAGAATGATGATGATGACGATGATGATGATGTTGATACTGATGGTGATATGGTGATGCTAATGAGGCTGATGAGAGTGATGAGGATGCTGATGCTGATCCTGGTGATGATGATGCTGATGCTGCTGATGATGTTTCTGCCGATGATACAGTTCGCGACGATGCGGTTGATAAGTGTTGGCTTTGTGGACGTGATGCGGACACTGTTGCTTGTGATGGCGATGCTGATGATGACGGAGTGTGCTAAATACGGCGTTGATGGTTGTCATGATGTTGATGTTGATCTTGCTGCTGCGGATGATGATCATGCCTATAGGATAATGAGGATGATGACGACGATGACGACGCCGATGACGATGGCGACGATGACGAATTTGATTGATGATAGTGAGGAGGAGGATGACGATGATGAGGATGCTGATGCTGATGCTGATGCTGATGCTGATGCTGATGATGAATGTGATGATGACACTGATGCATTTGTCGGTGCTGGTGCTTATGTTGACGATGCTGTAGATGATGATGTAGATGACGCCGTCGCTGGCGATGATATAGATACTGATAAGGCGGAGACGGTGGATGAAGTGGCGGAGTAGGATGTGGAGGAGGAAAATGGGGCCGGTGATGATGATCATGCTAAGGATGATGATGATGCTGATGACAGCCCTGCTGCTGCCGATGATGCTGATGAACATGATGATGATGCTGATGATGATGCTGATGCTGCTGATGATGATGCTGATGATGATGCTGCTGATGATGATCATGATGATGCTGATTATGATCATTTTGGTGGTGGCGGTGATGGTGGTGGTGATGATGATACCGAGCATGATGCTGATGATGATGCTGATGATGATGATGAGGCTGATGATGATGATGATGATGATGATGGTGATGATGATGATGATGATGATGATGATGATGATGATGATGATGATGATGATAGTGGTGGCGGTGATGATCATGATGAGGGTGATGATGGTGATGATGAGGAGGATGATTATGCTAGTGATGGTGGTGGTAACGGTGCTGCTGATGCTGATTAGGAGGAGGAGCAGGAGGAGGCATAGGAAGAGGATTTTTCGGGGTTTCTGGTCAAGGCGCTTCCTAGGAAGGGACTAAGACAACGTTACCTCGAAAGTCGTTTCGCAGAATATGGGCATCGCCATTTATGCATCATGTCCAAGGGTGTGTCCGTCCATCACATCTCAGAAGCGATTTGTTTGAGTCAGGTGAAGGCTTCTTGAGGCTATCCTATTCGGGTGGGATGCGTCGGTCGACGAGTGGGCTTCGCCTCGGCGGCAGAATACGGATTGCCCCACTCGTCGCAGAACATGACCCGTCCAGTGTGGCATGAGGCATGGTTGCTTGAGGAGGAGGAGGAGGAGAAGGAGGAGGACGAGGAGGAGGAGGAGGGGGAGGAGGGGGTGCATCGGAAGAGCAGGACCGAACGTAGAATTCCATGGGCTCAGCTTGAACCTGCACAGGGTCGGCCGATACCTCAAGATCGCCATCGGCGTCGGGGGATTTTTGGCAACGACTGAATGCGGAGGAAAGGGGGAGGAGCGACCGGGTGCAACACCCCCCTATCCCAGAGAGGTGCGACAGCTGATGGGCTGGATCAACGTCGTTCTCGCCAACCGCAACGCGATCCGCTCCGCGCTAAGCGCGGGCGACTCAGTGGCGGTGTTCCCCGGCGGCATTGCCGAGATGGTGCCCAGGGCCAGGGGGGCTTTTTCTGAAGTGGGTCGCCGCCGCGGTCGCCGTGGCCGTGGTCGTCAGCGCGGTCCTCGTCTTCGGCGTCGGCGGCGCCCTCGTCGCTCGGGGCTCGAGGAACTCTTTTCGTCGGCGGCGTGGGAGAGGCGGTCCGCTCCAGCGCGGGGCTGACCGGGGCAACCGAAATGGGAACTGTCTGGCGTGCAGAGGGTTCGAGGAGCATGAGCTCGTTGTTTGTTCTGGGCCGCCTGGAGCGCTCTCGTCGCTACGGGGCCTCCTGGATCGCCCTCGTCACCACGGGGCACGTTCCTAGGAATCCTTTTCAAAACAGTCCAGGAGAGGTCCACGGGGGCGGTTTTTCAATGGCTTCGTCGTCGTCGTCGTCGCCCTCGCCCTCCTTGACTTACGAGGCCTTTGCCATTCCGCGGACCCCCGAAAAGGGTTACAGGCGAGTGTAGTTAATTACGCTCACCGTATCTCCAGCAGCTTAGTCAAACAAGATGACCAATGTGAGCCTCTTGAATCCCTTTTGGAGTCGTTTCTGAAGGTCTCAGCCTTCGAAGCCTTCTTCGGGGGTTTTTGGGGCCCTCTTGGTGGCCGTTGGTGGTCCTTTTGAAGCCGTCTTGAAGCCATCCTGGGAGTGGATCCCCATCCCCTCCGCGTGGATCCAGAGCAACTGTTTCTTGGGCCATGTGGGGGCGCCCTTTCGGGGAGTTCTTGGGGGCCTCTGGGGTTGGAGCTCTCTTCCAGCCCCCTTCTTCGCGCCCTCCTCATCGATGTTGGATCGGGGGCCGCACAGGTCAGCCCGACTCCCCAGTGCTCCTGGAGATGACAAAGGTGTCGCACATGGCGACCATTTTGCAGCAGGTTAGGTTCAAGGTTTTCCCCATGGACATGATTTGGCCACAGTAGGAGCCTCGCGAGTACACCTGGTCTTGGGATGTTGGAGATACTCAGGCTGTTCCGCTGCAGACGATGGTGCAAGAGTGGTTTGGGCATTCTGAGGTTCGGCTTCAGCAAGTCCATGGGATCGGAGGCTACTCTGGGCTACTCTGGACGGGGGCAGGGGCGCAACACCAAGCGGGCTCCCCTCGAAGTGGCCTGGGCAAAAAGATCAACGCAGAAGGTTCAGTGCACAGACGACAGCCTGGATTACGTTCTTGGGGCTTGCCCGTCATTGTCAAAACGGTGTTCGAGGGAACCGAGGGCATTCTGGCAGGCCGCTTCTTGCTAGGTGGAAAGGGGTGCTCGTGAGCATGGCCTCCGCGATGTCCCCGGGCGACGGGCACTGCAGCGCCGCCAACCTTGCCGCCCTGGCCGACGAGGCCACTGTTCGCTCGTGCCTCACCCCGCCGACCTGGGCGCACTTGAAGGGGGAGGTCAACGGGAGACCTGGAGACGAGGGGATGCCAAAATATCCATGAAGGAGTGGAAGAAGTGGGTGATTCAATATGTCAAAGGAGGGGCGAAAGCTGCGCGCGCCTTCTCTCGCAAGTCCATGCAGAATTCAACCGCCCTGCTCGACTTGAGCGGGGTTCCCGTATGCGGGAAAGAGGCCATCGAATTTTTGCTCGCCCAGCGGGTGCCGCTCTGGTGTGTGGAGGGCCGTGGCAGCAACCACCCCTCATCGTGGACAATTCCAGAGGGTGAAGGAGATCTGCCTCCCCTCACGCTGGAGGATCTGAGGCATGTCTGCAGGACAGACTGTCCAGGGGCAGGTCTCGGGTTGGACGGGCTTCGTCCCCGGTGGATCTTGGACCTAACGGAGGAACATCCGTTGAGATTGTTGGACAGGTCTGAAGACTCGTTTCAGGCCCTGCACATGTTCATGGTTTCCATTGCGAAGGCCGACGGTGGCGTGCGCCTCATAGGTCTGCTCTGCCTGATCACGAAGGTGTGGTCGCGCCTCCGCCGGCCGATTTGCGGCCGCTGTGAGAGAGCATACGCAAGAATGTTTCTGGGGCGCGCACCCGTCGAACGCGTGTGAAAGAGCAGGGCGGGTCAACAATCTGTTGGGGAGCTACTGCAGGGCCGCGGGGTTCAGTCAGGGAGGGTTCGGGTGGACCTAAACAAGTTCCGCGAAGACATATCACACCAAGATTTGTATGATGCTGCGCGCACGCTCGGGTGTCCCATCCGCGTTTTGCGTGGTTTGTGCTGCGCGTGTGCTGGGCACAGAGTATTGTTGCATGGCGGCGGAGTGCCTGCCTCCGGGCACGCCAATGGGACAGTGATCGCAGGCTGTTCTGGGGCCACGACGGTGGTCAAGTTGTTGCTCCCCGGCCCCCTCCTCCGGGCGAGAGCAGGGCGGCCAACGCTCTGCATCAGGAGCGTGGTCGATGACGTGGCGTTGCAGGCCTGCGGGCGCCCGAACCAAGTAGCTAGTGCTCTCGTGGGAGGTGCCATTTCGCTGTTTCAGGACTTCGAAAAGCTGCGGCTCCCCATCGCCCTGGAGAAAACGAATCACCTTTGCTCGGCTGAGGTCAACAAGCTCGCGCCGGGCCAGTGGCCCCATATACCCTTCGAGCCGCGTCGGCCATCATCGGAACCTTGGGGTAGATGCTGTCGTGGGAGGAGTGCGCCATGCGGGCGTCGCGAAGGCTTGGTTCGTCGCAGCTCGGCCCAGGACTCGTCGTCTTCAACTTCTGAGGGAAGCGGGGGCTGACATCACCCTGGCCCAGAGGATGGGGGCCACCGCTTCAGCCCTACGGGCAGCAGTGTTGTAGGAGTGGCCCCCGCGGCCGCGCGCGGGTTGCGGATTTCAGCGGCCCATGGCGCTTGGGGGCACCCCGCGGGAGCCAGTCTTGGCATTCGGCTGCGCTCGTTTCGCTTCGGTGTTAGCTACGACCCCCTGGTGGCCGACGCGGGCCAAGTGATGTTTCAGTAGGCGACGGTGGTCTGGGATGGATACCCGAAGGCCCGCGTCCTAGAGGCCACGATGGCAGCGGCGATCTCCAGGACAGCGGGAAAGAAACTCCCTTGGAGAGGGCTGCGTCGCCAGCTGACGTAGCCTACTTGTCGCTCGCTCGCATCGGTTGGTTTTTCTTCGGCAGCTCGCAGATTGTCAGTGACCTGTGGGTGACTTGGAACTTGCTGCAGCCGGCTCCAATGGAAAAAAGAGCCTTGGTGCGCGAAGCGGCCGTGAGGGCTTCAGATCGCATGGCCTTGGACCTCCACGGGGCCCATGGACTCGGGGGTCCGAAGGCCCCTTCTTTCTTCATGTTTTGGCAAGGCGTCTCTGGGCGATTTCGAGGGAAGTCGGCTGCGTGGACGGCCCGGCACCAGAGATCGCTCGGGAGTTTAATGGGCAATGCCCACTGGCCGCAGGCCTCAGTGCACGGCCACGGTCTCCACCCCTCCCCGCACTTGCCGCCTTTGCCAAGGGGCGCCAGGCACCGCGTAGCGCCGTCAGTATGACTGCCCAGCTCATGCCACCCTGCGCACGGATGGAGTCTCGAGCTGGCTGCGGGAAAGGGCGGGCAAGGCGATGGGGGCTGGGCTGGAGGTGGGGGAGAGGTTCGCGCGTGGGTTTGAGCCCTCAACTCTTGGTTTCTGCGCCTGCGTCGGAGCCTGAGCCCCTGGTGCGCCGGGGCAACAGGCCAGCAACGGGACTGCTCACAGGATGCATATGTTCTGACGGTTCGGCGATGCATACACAGCTCCATAAGTGGCGCGCGAAGGCTGGGCGCTCGTGCAGGTGGACTGGCTAAGCCCATTGGTGTCAGCAGCCTATGGGCCTGTCCCGCTATCGCTGGGGCTTATGCAGACCTCTAAGGATAGCGAAGATTTCGCAGTGCACATGCTTGCAAAGTTGGGCATGCCACCTTCCAAGCTGTTTTTGGATTGCGAGTCCACCCTCAGAGCGCTCCACAAGGGACCTGGCTCTGGGACCTCCGCGGGGGCTCATCGAGGGCATGTGTGGTCCCAATTCTGGGGTGGCTTTGACAGGGGCGACTATGAAGCCCACGAGACTTTGGCTCATGCGTCGGCGTTGGATGTAGATCGAGGGTTCACCGCGTGGTGGGAAAAACGTGCCAACGATAATGCATAACTGTATGCGAGGGCAGGTGCTAGGATGCATGCTGTCGGGTAGAAACATGCTGATTTAGTAGTTGGGTTTCTCTGTCTTGCCCTGGAGGCTGGACGGCTCCCATCGAGGCTCATCTCAGCCAGGCGACGGCGGGCAGGACCGACGCGGTCGGTCTGGGCCGCGAGGACCAGGCGGACCCTGCGGCCGAGCAGGCCCAGGCCCCCCAGGAGCTGCCGCCCGAGGACGGGTTGCCTCTAGGGGATGACGGAGACGGCGGGGGGGGAGTCGGGCGTGGCTTCGGGCGGAGGTTGGACGGGGGATTCGTTCTGGCCTGAGTTGGCCCCTTCGGCGTGTTACGTGTGGGGCCAGGCCCTGCTCAAGTGCGCATATGGTTCCCCCATCGCACAGGGGCCCGTGGCTCGCATGCTGTTCTCGGTGCGGGGCTTCTTGCTTGGGGTGCCGTCCGGGCGTGGTGCTCATGAGCCGATGAAAAGGGGGTCCCAGCTAGCCGTGGCATGACGTCGCAGTGAAGGATTGCAAAACAACTTCGAAGGATTGCAACAAAACCTCGAAGGGTTTTTGTTTCCAATCCTTGTTTTGCAATCTCTCGAGTTAGCAGAGGAATGCGTCCTCACTAACGTGCGTCTACCAGGGACCTGAGGCTAAGCCTCCCATGACCGTTGCGCTTGGGAGAGAGGCGTTTGCTGCGTCAGGCGATGTTGTTCGAAGTTCCCCCGGGTTCGGCGAGCTGCCCTCTCCAAGAGGCCCACGGGGCTTTTAGTTTTGCGTCCGAGCGTGTTGTCCTGGATGCTTTCGGGCTCCTTCCCTCGGACTTGGAGAAAGTGCAGGCGCTCGGGGAGACGTCCCGTCGATGGGGGGTCGGACATCAATTCTGACCGCGATTCCGACGGGAGCGAGCTGTTTTAGGCTCCGCGTTCAAGCGATCCACAACAATAATTTCCTCTTCCTCGTCCTCCTCCCCCTCCTCCTCTATCTCCTCCTCCCCCTCCCCCTCGTCGACCTCCTCTTCCTCCTCCTCCTCCTCCTACTCCTCTTCCTCCTCCTTTTCCTCCTCCTCCTTCTCCTCCTCCTCCTCCTCCTCCTCCTCCTCGGGTCGCCTACGGCCCCGGGGGAAACCGTGTAGCCCGCGTGGTGCTGCTGTCTTTGTTGTGCTCGGCTTTCCCGCTGCCGCCCAGCCACAACCCTGTCGCCAGCTGTCCCTGGCTGCATGCCGTGGCACACTCGCACTGGCTGGTGCTGCAAAGTGTCCTCCGCTAACTCTTACCCTCCCTCCTCTCATCGTCCCTTCTCCTCTGTCCTCCTTCTTTCAGTTTCCTCTGTCCTTCCTGCTCGTTGTGTCTCCGTCTCCTCCTCCACGTCCCCCATGCAGCCAGACGCTCCCGCTGTGGACCCGAATTACCTCGCAGGTGCGTACCAGCGCCTCCTCCGAGCAGCTGGTGCTGCAGGGCCGCAAGGCCTTGCCTCCTTTTTTACCCATCCCTCTTTGTTTTCCTCTTCCTCCGTTCTTCGAAGATTGAGGATTTATATCCGATAGCAGATGTTTCCCCGCGTGTTCGAAGCATGTCGAGACTTCGTTGGGCTATGGGGTCCTCAAGGAGCCCTCCAGAGTCCATCAGAGGCCGTCGGATGTCGTCATCATCAGAGGCCCTCAAACGCCGCCTCCGCCTCCTCCTCCACTTCCCTTTCCCTCCCTCTCCCCCTCCCTCGCCGTCCCTCCTACCTTCCTGCGTCTCGAAGCTGGCATGGGAATGTTGAGGTTCTGTTTGTTGGGGAGGGTGGGGATGGTTGGGGTGAGTGAGGTTTTTTTTGAGGGGTTCCTGGGTCCTCTGGGGGATTCTCCTCTGTCCTCACCCTTCCGTCCTCTGGTCTCCCTCCTCCCCGCTCGCTAAGGTGGGGGTGAGTGAGGGTTTTCAGGGGTTCCTGGGTCCTCTGGGGGATTCTCCTCTGTCCTCACCCTTCCGTCCTCTGGCCTCCCTCCTCCCCGCTCGCGAAATCACCCCTCGCTGCTCAATCATATCCATCCCTCCTCACTCCTCGCCAATCCTCCCCACGCCGCCGCCCTCGCTCCCGACGCCTCCTTACCCTCCTCCTCCTCCTCCTCCTCCTCCTCCTCCTCCTCCTCCTCCTATTCCCTCTCCCCCTCTTCCTCTCCCTTCTCCTCCCTCTTTCTCTCCCTTCTCCTCCCTCCTTTCCGCCTCTCTCTCATTCCTCTTCCTGAGCCTTCCCTCTCCTCTCCTTCCTTCCGCTCTCTCCATGCCCGCCTTTTTTTCATCACCTCTTCCTCCCACTACTATGGTTAGTCCTCCTCCACCTCCTCCTCCTCCGCATTGCAAGGGCTTCGTGAGGCTGGCGCTGGAGCACGGCGTCCCCATTGTGCCAGTCTACGTGTTCGGCCAGAGCCTGTCCCGGAGGTGTGCGCCATCCCGCCGCCCCAAACGTGCGCCACAAGGTCGGTGCACTCGCGCAGGATCGAAATTAGTACCCGTCGGTCGTTGAGAGGAGATGTGATTTCAGATCCCCAGATCCCAGTCTTTTCCCAGATCTCCTTTGCCGCCATTCTTCTCGCTGGTGGGCAATGTATAGAACGAATGTGCCTGGCTCTGAGGCGAGAGCCGCATTCTGAACACCACCGTCTACCCGTCCTGGTAGCTGTTGAACAGACTGTGCGCGGCGCTGACTCGACAACCCTCATCTCTGTTAAAACGACCAGCCCTGCATCTCTGTCAGTACCAAAGTTTCCCCAGACGGTGCTTGCACCCTGGGGCCCTGAGGAGCTGAGCCCGTCTGCGGGTCCGGCGGCCCCGCTCCCACTCCGCCGTGTGCCAAGAGGCCCGTCTGCGGGCGCGACGGCTCCGTTCCCGTCAGTCGCCGCAGTCCTGTCGGGCGGCCGCTGGTTGCACCGTCGAGCGTGCCGGAGCACAGCGTTCAGGGTGCACGCGGGCCAACACCTGTTCAGCTTCGTCATCGTATATTGTGAGAAAGTTTCAGGTGAACCGCCCAGCCCAGCCCAAGGACACGTCTGGTGGTGCGACAGGTGGGCGTTGGAGTTGTTTGTCTGGAAGGGGGGCGGAGCACAGGATGATATGGAGGAGTATGATGAGAAAGGAGGAGGGCACGGTTGAGATGGATGAGGACAGGAGATACAAGGCACAGAAAACATAAGGTGTAGGAGTGGGAAGAATGATGAGAGAGGAGGATAAGGAACGACGATTAAGGTTTTGATGAGGATTGTATTGGTAATGTTGGTGACGATGACCATGACGATGACGATGTTGATGACGATGATGATGGTGACGATTCTGATGTTGGTGATGCCGATCATGTTGATACTTACGATGATGCTGGTGTCTACCTCAATACTTTTTGTATGGTGATGCCGATTATGATGTTGACGATAGCGTCGATGCTGATGATGTTGATGCGGATGGAGATGAAGGTGATGATGAATCGGATGATGATGATGATTATGATGATGATGCTGATACGTATGCTGATACTGATGATGATGATGATACTGATAATGATAATGATGATGATGATGATGATGATGATGATGATGATGATGGTGCTGATGATGATGATGATGTTGATGGCGAACATGCTGGTGATGACGATGATGCTGACGATGATGCTGCTGCTGATGATGCTGATGCTGATCATGGTGGTGGTGATGACAATGACGACGAAACCGATGAATGCTCATATTACGGTCACGTTGACGACGATGACGGTGATGTTGTCGTCGATGTTGTCGATGTTGATGCTGCTGACGATGATGATGCTGAGGACTGCTGCTGCTTCTGATGGTGATGATGAAGATGCTGATGACGATGACGATGACGATGAAGATGCTGATGATGCTGATGATGATGATAACTAGTATGTTGGTGATACTAATCATAATGATGACGGTGAGTTTGGTGATGATGATGCTGTGGACGATGGCCGTGATGAGACAGCCGATACGAACGATGATGCTGATGATGATTATGATGATGAGGATGGTGGTGGTACTGGTGATGATGATGATGATGATGATGATGATGCTGATGATGCTGATGATGATGGCGATGATGCTGGCACTACTGTTACTGCTGCTGATGATTATGATGATATCGATGACGATGACGATGATGATAACGATTGTGTTGACGCTGATTTTGATGATGCTGCTGCTGCTGATGATGCTGCTACTGATCATGATGATGCTGCTGCTGTTGCTGCTGATGATGATGACGAGGATGATGATGAGGATGATGATGATGACGATGATGATGATGATGATGATGATGATGATGATGATGATGCTAGCGATGGTTGTGGTGATGACGATGGTGATGATGAGAGCAGGACGGATCTGGGGAAATCTGGGGTTTAAACGAAGTGGACACAGGATCATGAGGGCAAGCAGGACTGTCACCCCTGGCAAGCTGGGTGCGGCGGACTGTGGAGCCATCTGAGGATCCCTGGTCTTGAGACGCTGTCGAGGCTGCAGCGTACGAACAGAAAGATACGGGTCCGAGGAGGAGGAGGCGGGTGGGGGTGGGGGTGGGGGACGAGCCATCGCAGTGGATGCTCCAAATGCTCGAGTCGAAGGCAGACGCGATCCGGGGTGGTTGAACGCGATCGACCCGATCTGCAAGTCTACTTTTCCAACGGGTGCGTCGTGTTGATGAAGGGCTCCACGAGGTTGTGCCAGTGCCGAGTGGGGCTTCAGCCGTGCTCCTCTCACGCGATTTGCTTCAATGTATGGGCCAACGGGATACGCTCCTCGAAGGCAGCCGACAAGTGCAAACTTATTGGTGGTGTTCCTCAGTCCGTGCTAACTGGAAGTACGAGGCTGTGCGGCTAGCCGCAAGGAAATTGGTGCTCTCGTTTTTCGAGCGGGGAACCAGACGGATTTGCCCGCATGCGGGTAATAAGACGGCTCGCTGATATTTCAGGCGAAGCGTTGCAGTCGTTGCGTCGCTCTGTTGCCTGACCGCCCAGACGGCATCCCGCCGAGAGGACCCTGATCCCCGAAGCCTTCCCCAAGCCTCCTTGTCTGTCTCCCCCTCTTCCCTCCCCCTCTCCCGCCTCCTCTTGCCATCCCACTCCACCTCCTCTTTTATGTGAATGTGTGATTATTTGTCTTCTTCTTCTCAATCGCAGCTACGTAGAAATACCTCCATTGCCCGCCGTCGGCGGCGCCGTCAGCGGCGCCGCCAGCGGCGCCCGCATGGGCATCGTCTGCGGCGCCCGCGTAAGCGGGTGCAGCGGGTGTGTCAGCAGTGGGCGCATTGGGCGTGGCATCGCGGAGGGGACCTCTGCGGAAGCCATCCTCCTCTGCACCGACAGCGCCCGGGCAATAACTGTCACGGGTAGCTCGTGGTACCGCTGTGTCGGTGCCCCGCGTGTCTATCCCAGGCCAACATTCAATGCATGAGTTTGCCTATTGCATGTCGGTTTGTGCGGAGTGCTGGGCGAGGTGTCGAACTTTGGTGGTCGTGCTCCCTCCTCCTTCTCGTCCAAAACAGGACCCTTCCTCTGCAGAAGGCTCAAGAAGTCGCTCTTTCGAAGGCTGGCCACTGGCCAGATCAACGAGTCAGGGGGAAGCTGCGTCGCGAGCAGCCCACGCTCGCAGCGCGGGCCAAGGCTCAAGCGAAAGAGGAACTTGCGACGCAGTGTGCGCGTGTGTGCGTGTGTGTGTGGGAGTGCGCTAAAAAGAGGCCGCTCTGCACGGGCTGAGGATGAGCATGGAGCATGCTGCAGACTGTAGGGATGCACACTACGGTGGTAGGGCTGATTTTGATGTTGATGATATGATGACGACGATGGTGATGCCGACGACTGAGCATGCCATGATGAGCATATTGATGTTTGTTGTGGTTGTGGTGATGTCGGCAACCATGACGCTGGTGGTGGCGACAAGTATGATGACGATGGTGGTTGTGATAATGATGATGGTTGTGGCGGTGGCGATGGTGATAATGACTGTGTTGCAGGGTGTGATGAAGATGACGGTAATGATGACCTGACAGTTGCGATGGCAGATTGCACAGAGTTGTCGGTGACGATGACGACGGAAATGATGATAAGAGATCAACGCGCGTTATGTTCGGGGGTGGACATAACCCCCAACAGTGACACGTCGATTAGTGAATTGTCCGTTTTCGGTTCTCGAGAGGGCGCCGTGGCTGTTATTTTCCAGGCCTGCGCCCGCCAGGTTTGGGCCTCAGGTCGTTTTCACTAAACCGGGTTTTACTAAAGGGGGGTCTGTCCATCCCCGATATGTGGCCTCCACCTCACCCACACACCCAGTAGATAACATATCGCCCTCCACCCCATCCACCCGACGCTGGGCGCGGGCGCCAGGACGTCGGACGCGGAGTCCATGTCGGTGGACATGCAGATCTTCGTCACGACGCAGACTGGCAAGGTCATCGCCCTAAAGATTCAGCCCCGCGACACCATCGCCACGATCAAGGGCATCATCCAGGGCTTGGTGATACTCACTCCAGAGCAGCAGTGCCTGATCCACAGGGCGAGGCAGCTAGAGGACGAGCGGAGAGTGCGATAATACAACATCCAGCAGGACTCTACGCTGCACTTGCTCATTCGGCTTCGCGGCGGCCCGGGATCTCACGACCAGGCCATGCTACCGCCCGAAGCTGGTCCGGTCCAGCTGGCTGGACGATGCAATATGTGCTTCGCTGGTGGCGTGGATGCCCCGGCGCCTCCTGGGGCGGATCTCTGCGCCGCACATGCAGTGGCCGCCGCGCCGGCGGGTGGGACAGCGCTCCGCCTGGCGCAGGCCCTCGAGGCAGGCGCAGCCCCTCTGGCTGCCCCACCCGGGCTGGCTGCTGCCCCGGCGCCTGCCGTGGCTGCTGCCCTGGCGCCTGGTATGGCTGTTGACGCGCCTGCCGACGGCAGTGGCCTGCCGCAGGACGCCCAGGATGACTTGACCTCGGGCTTGACGCAGGCCATGGCAGGCGTGGACACGGATGCCAACATGCCAGCCGTGCCGGGCTTCCCTACAGCGCCGGCTCCTCGCGAACATGGTGGTCTCGGCTGCGGGGGCCAGCACTGGGCGTGACCAGCCCTCCTTCGCAGGCCGCCCTCCCCCAACCTCATGGGACTCTCTGCGCAACTTGCTGCACGACCTGGTGTACCTACTGGACTCCGACAGACCCTGGGGGCCAGATCGGCCTACTGGCCATGGAGGGGCCGCTGCCAGAGCTCCCGGCCTTGGACCGCCGCCTCCGTCGCGCCGAAGTGCTGCTGTCCCTCGCGGAGCTGCCTGGCTGGTCGGTTGACAATCGCAGGCGAGCTCGCCGAGCCTTGGACCAGCCTAAGAAAACCCATGCTGGCTGCATGGAGCAGTTCCCAGCGGTCCAGCAGAGAGGACGCCAGGACAAGGGCCACAGTGTGGACCGATCGCTGGCGGAAGCGGCGGCCAGTTTGCAGTTCATCCTGCACTCAGCGGCGACGCTGAGGGAGATCGTGGCCACTCAGCTGTCCAGCGTGCGCGAGCTGCCGGACGCCCTGCGAAACCACCCCCGCGTCCGTCCGGCGCCGGAGGCGCGGCGATTGCAGCAGCGGCTCGACACGGGCGACATCACCGCCGAGTCTTCGGTCCGGCTTCTCTATCACGGCGGATTGGCGGCGTGGGCACTTGTGGCTCCTCCAGCGCTGGGCCGACTGCTCGCTGCGTTGCTGCGCATCCCGGCATCTGGCTTTGAAGGGTGGCCGCTGCGGCTGGTGGTCCCCATGGACGTCTTGCCGGGATGCGGCACGGTCGCTGCCATTCGTGATTTGTTTTGGCATCCACTTCTCGGTGGCAAAGGGGCCCCGGTGGTCAAGGCGCACTCCTCTGTGCCACAGCCGCTGCAGATGCTGCTTACCCCGGCGGGTTGCCCTCAGCACGCCACCCGTGGCCTGCTCATCGCAACGGTGTCGACGCAGTCGCTCCACCAGCTTCCACAGGTGGTTTCGGTTGCGGAACCGCTCGACAGCATCGCATGCTGCCTATCCTTCTTCCTCGACTGCCCTGCGTCGCACGTCGCGACGGTGGTCCAGGACGTCTTGCGCATCGGTCCCGGGTTCAACGTCGCAGTGGGGCGCTGCGGCCGCAGCCCAGGCCCCACTCCAGCATTGCCTTGTAGCCGAGTGGACTTCTGGCTTCCGCAGACGGTTGCGGCATTCAGCCTCCAGATGATGCTGACCGGACTGCGACGTCACCGATGGCCTACCGCAGCGGTGCTGTTCGCAACCCGCTCCCTGTACGCCCGCGGTTCCGCCCTCCTCGTTGAGCTCTCGGACGCCGCGGCGATCGTCAATATTGCCCACATGTGTCCAGAGGCGCTGTTCATTGCTCCGCGGCTGCTGACTGTCACGACGGAGGCGCCGCAAGAGCAGTAGCAATCATCGGTGGATCTGGAGGCCTCCGGGCAAAGTGGTGGCCTTCGCGCTTGGGGGGCCGCACCTGGGTTGCACCGGCAGCCTCCGCGTGGCCCGTCCGCGCGGCCAGGGCACCCGCCGCGGCAGCTATGGAGCGGGCGGCAGACGGGTCCCGCTCTGCGGAGATCACGGCCAGCGGATCGTTCGGCTACGCGCCGCAGGAGGTGGTAGAGCTCATCATCAGGATCCTTGGTGACCAGATGGGGGCGCAGCTGTCGGCCGCCGCCGCCAGCTCCAAATTGGCGCCTTGTTTGGGCGACGCGTGGCAGCTGACGATCCGACGGCCGATCCATGCCGCATTCGCCTCTACCTGAAATCCGCCGAGGATGGCGACCGGGCTCGGCAGGCGGTGCACGAGAGAGCAATCCAGGCGGGGATGGACCTGGCGACGCTCGCCGCTTCGACACTGCCCGGAGGCCGCAGAACAGTCGCCAGGGGGGAGGCGTGGTCGAGGTGGGCGGGGCCGCCCCCCCGGCCGAAGCTGAGCAGGCCAATGCGTGTACAATTGAGGTCTTCTGCGAGGACGGCCATCGCTGCTACTTGCTGGACCTCGCGTGGTTGTCACGCCGAGCCCTTGTTACTTGACCGCGCAAGAAACCACCGCAACCGGAAGTTATGGATGTTTCTTTAAAATGATTTTTTGTTGGTTGTTCTGTTGTCGCGGTTACTGTTGGCGCGTGCTTCGATTTCACATGTATCGCGTTCTCGTGGGGTTGCTTCATTGCCACTTGCAGAGCGTCTCCCGCAGACCTTCCCTTCGACGTGCTGGCGCGAGACCGAGTGGCGTGCCTGCGCGGCGCGGCCTGTTTAACACGACGCGCGTGCGCGCAGTTCAGAGGAGTTTACATTCGTAGCCGCCTGATTGTTGCGGCACCGCGCCATATTTGTTTGCGCGACGCGAAGCGCTCTTTTCAGATGCCATTTGCGCGTGTTTTGCATGGGCGGATCGCCTTGGCGCAGCGATGCTTCGCTCGGCGTGGTTCGGCCGCTTTTGCGCGATGATGCGCCCGTGTGCGTGTATGTTATCAGAGCGGATCTGCGTGACGGCGTGTCCAGTAGCGATTACCATGCCGTTAAGTTTGTTCCTCGTGGGCACGCGGGCCCCCCGCCCCTTTTTCCCTCGTTCGCGGCACGCCAAATTGTTGGAGTGTCTATAAGTTTGTTTCGTTGGGCGCTTGCGCATGTGATTTTTTTTGTGAGCATTGTTCATTTGTTGCCCACCTTTCGCGCGACCTCTTCTGGTTGCTTTCCCCCTCGTCCACTCGCATTATGTTTTGATGGTGTTTTATTGCGCACGTCTCAAGGTGGAGGGCCCGGTCCGCTCGTGGAGGGCGCGACATTGTTGACAAATCATACGCGTCGCGCGGTTGTGGTAGAAACCACGGCGCGTGCGTCATGCCGATCTGTTCGCGGCAAGTCCCGCGCACCGCGACCGCGCAGCACTCGGCGTGGCGAGTCTTCGAGCACCGCCACGAAAGCCATAACGCGCGACATGTCGTCGCCCATAGCCTTGCAACGGCCGCAACATGTGACGCGCTCTTCCGCGCCGCTTCGGGGCGCACTCCTTCGTCTACGTCGTCGCCCCCCCCCTTCCCACGCCCCCTATGTTGTCGCCCTCCCTTCTTCCATTTCGTTCTCCTTGTCTCATTATTGCGTCTCCTGGGGTTCTCACGTGGCACACATGGTCAACATGTGGTATGTCATGGGTTATTGTCGGGTTGTCATGGGGGCCTCCTGGGACACTCTTGAGTCGTATATGGGGCTACCTGGGACATTAGGGGCCCTCTTGGGCCGTCGTGAGTTGCCTGGGGGGTATCTTGGTGCCGTCTTGGGCCGCGTTCGCCTCCATGCTGGTTTTCTTGCTTTGCCTGGGTTGGGTCTTCAGTTACCCCCAACCCCACTAGGTGTGGTGCCAGACCTCCCTTCCACCTCCAACAGGTCTGGTGGGATGCCCCCCTTCCACGTCGACCAGACCTCCCAGCGGGCCCTCCTCCGGCGAGGAGGAGGGGGTTTCCACCAGACTTCCTCTGGTTCTCCTGGAGACCTCCCCCTGATCCCCCCGAGGGCTTGGGGGGGCCTTCCGGAGGCTTCCCTTGGTTTCCACAAGGTGTGGCGAGAGGCTTCCGACGGCCCCTGGGAACACCAGGCGAGGCCTCCCCCAGGCTTCCGGGACGACCAGGGGATGTCTCTGGGAGGCTTCCCCTGGTTCACCTGGAAGCCTCCGATGAGAGTTCCCGCAGGGGGGGGGGTCTCCGGTGGGAGGCTTTCGGGAGGACCAGGGGAAGCTTCCAGGAGACCTCACCTGGTCCTCCACCAAGTTTCCCCCCAGCGGCCAGGGAGGACCAGGGGAGGTTTCCAGGGGGCCTCCCGTGGTCTCCCCGGGAGTTTCCCCTTGGAGGGAGCCCTGCCGGATTTCGAGGTCTGGGGGAGGCTCCCGGACCCTGGTCCTCGGGGAGGATTCCCAGCAGGCTTGCAAGGACCAGAAAAAACTTTTGGGAGACCTCCCAGCCCCCTTTCGGAAGTTTGCGGGAGGCCCCCAAGAGGACCAGGGGAGGCCCCCCGGCGGTCTCCCCCCAGATTCCAGGAGGTCGTCAGGACACCGCTAGAAGGCTTACTCTTCGGGGCCCTGAGGCCAGTGGATCACCGGATGCAGCGCAGCTACGGTGGCGACGGCAGCAGAGTCGCGTTCAGCCTCGGCGAAACATGTGCCGCGCGTTTCCAAGCTGGGTGGCTGGTTGGGGGCCTCCGACGGCCACGCCGGGACGCTTGAACTTTGGGTCTTTCCGCTCCAAGAAAACATGGTGGACGTAAGGAAACTTTTGGTTCCTTAATAAATGCCCCCCGGGGGGCCTCGATGGTCCCAAAGTGCGAGACATCTGTCGATCCACCAAATTTAATCAGGAATTCCCGGGGTCCCAAGTAAGGTCCTTACTTGGGTGCCTGGCGGTCCCAGAATTCAGGGCCTTACTTGGGTCCTCG